CTAAGCATGGCAATTCTTCAGTAGAATAAAATGTATCTGCATCTCAAACTGTGCCATGGCTTTTTTTTGTAACTTCACCATATATATTAGTACATCTGAACAAAATTCTGACTAATAAGTTAACTGGGGTCTTTTAGCATGTTTGTAACAGGTCTAACATACATTTATTCAATGTGATGGTAAAGACAGATATAGCCATTTCTATTACATAATTAAAATGCATTTCATAATTTAAAATGAAGTGTAACTGATTTATATAATATAACCTGTTCATAAAATATTGTGTGTACACACATCATTGCACAACAACTCCAAACAAACTGGATCATTGTCTGTAAAAATCTGTATTGCAGTTGTTATATATAGTAAAACACTGATGGACAATTAGATTTTTGCATACAGGACAAATTGTGCCTTACAACCTGGTTGTAGCTTCCACTGTGACAAAAGTTGATCAATATTTTAATGGTTGTAGGATTTCATCAAGACAGCTTTAGAATGTCTTACTTTTCATTAGCTGTATGCATTTCATGGACCTATGTCCAATATAGTAAATTAATCAAATGCTATACCATAAATATGTCTGTGTTTCAAAATAGTTATTGCTGAACATAAGACAATGATTATTTGGGCAAGGAGTTTACCCTGCTGCACTTTTTAACCACAACCAACAGTTACCAAACACAACCACAGTGTAGGAACACATCCTTGAGTACACTTCATCACTGGAGGAGGGTTGAAAGGTTGGCTGAATTACAAAATAGATTTATCTTTTCAAAGCATGATTTCACTGGATGTTTGGCAGTGGATGGGGCCCTAGTTAGTTTTAGTTTTATGGACTTAAAAACAGCCTGCAGATCAGATAAGCTGACTGAATGAGAAGGGTTACACAAAGATTTAAATCAAGTTATGATAAACAGTATTGTGCTAAATAGGAAAATCTATGTGATCTACATCCACAACATAATGCACCTTCCCATATAATCAATACCTCATCATATACAGATGTTATAGATAATTTTCAATTATTGACCTATTATGATGTTACAGTGTCATTAACATAGTACAATAGCACAATTCTCTTATCGACTCACCTGTTGAGGTACTCTTCCGGAAGGTGTCTCATTTCTAAGATTTGTGATGTTTCACAGTAAAAGCCTAAGAGTGAAAACAACAAAAGCATATGTTTACTGATTAAGTGAAATTTCCATATATCAGCAAATTAATATAAAAAAAAAAAACATTTAAAAGAATATATTTAAGTAAGCTTACCGAGTATAAAATACAATATAGACAATAACTTTTTGGTCTTGGCACTATAGCAGACATACTACAAAAGTAATTAATTACAATGTCACTAATTAGGGATAAAGATAATAATGGAAAGGAAAGCTTTTCTCCAAAACTTCTCATAAAAAAGGCATTGCTCATTTTCTCAAAGAAAATTCACCTATACATTTCTTCACTATCTATCTATAAGAACTAACATATCTCAAGTAACATTACACACAATATCATTCAAATTAAACATATTGCAATTACATTTCATGTAACTGAACTTAATATTTAATGTAATTCAAACAGTACCTTTTGCCCTGTTAAGCTCAATGTCCGGCCTTCATCAGCAGAAAAGCCTTCTAATCTATAGGAGTCTTACAGTTCTGTGTGCAAACCCAGCAACCACTAACTTCAGAGTCTGAATGGAGACCAAGAGAAAGGGCAAGACAAGAGAAGGACATATGGAGGCAGGGTCCACTACTCAACACCTCCTCAAGTGACCCTCAGTGAATAACAGACATTCCAACAGTAACTGAATCTGAAACCAGAGTTGGCTCCGATTTCAAACTTGATCGAGACAAGGTGTCTCACACCTTCCCTTGTGTGTTCATGTGAGTGGAGAAGTCAGAGATACAAGGACTCCAGACAGCTGGGAATGGGACCTTTGATGCAAGGCTGAAGTCTCCACTAATGCCTGGAATAGATTAGAGCTATGTAGAGGAGTTCAGATTCTGGTATGAAGGCAAAGCACGTCCACTGTATGGACAAAAAACTTCCTGTTTTAACCTAGGCTAACCAAGGTTCATTGGTAAAGTATTAGTATAGTATATCTGGGCCTGCCTAGCGTATGATATAGTGTATGACACGCATGCAAATGGTATGTTCAGTTTTAACAAACACAGCGCAGATACGAGTAGTTTTGTTTGTGTTCTATATGGCAGGTAATGGAGTGCAAATGTATGTAAACCTGTCCAGATAACTAACTGGAGAATGTGTCTATGGTCCAGCAAGTGTTGCTATACGAGGACATTTACTGTAGTTTCATAAATATAGACCTTGGTGGAGAGTGACGCCTTTAAGTTACAAGAACAGATGCAACAACAGATGTATTGGGAGGCCCTAAATTACATAGCAATGAATAGGACAAGCTGTTAAAGAATATAATCTCCCTTTGCAATTGTAAATTTCAAACATTTATTTAGGACACCTAGATTCTGTATAGAAATATTTTTTTATGGAATTGAAACTCAAGCATAGGATGAACATTTCATCATTTATCAGAATAATTTATATTCTTTGTAATAGACTATGGATGTGTTTTCTTGCCAGATTCGCACACAGCAGTTATAACTGCAGATTGCAAGCCGGACGCGAAGCTCCACTGAGCTCTGCGCTCTGTCTGAACAGCCCAATTGGTTAACATGGACAATCAATAGATTCATTATAATTTTGTAAACAGAAATGAGCTGATCCCTCGCAAATTCCATCTAATGAAAGTTGTCAGTGATGCTCTTCAAAGAGTCTGGGCACATTTCTTTACATAACGTTGAAATGATGTTGCTTCCAAACTGACAGCTCTTATTTCAGAGACAGAAGCATACAGGTTATTTTTGAATAAATAATTTTAAAATATCATAGAATTCTTTATTTTATCCATTTCCTTTTGGGGGTGGTTAGACAGGGCTATGGGTTCCTGCTATGGGTTGCTATGTTTCTCTGAATGATATGTCACAGTGTGTTTAATGGCTGCATTTTGTTTGTTTTTATATCCTTGAATAAAAAAGCGCTCGTCATTAAGATGTTAAGCCAGAGCAATGTAGCAAGTTAGCAAGTAACATAGTTCTCTCAGCTTGTAATGGTTAAGATGTATTCATTGTATGTGTGCACGAGCATTAATTATGTTAATTCACATGTTGGAAGGTTGGAAGCATACTGTATGGTAGGTGAATTTCTTTCCCTCTGGAAAGAAGTTAGGTACTTCCATGGTTGACCTCGTAGCTAGTTGGTCTGGTTCAGGAATAAACTGTGCATCATTATAGATGGATTTTTGCAGTTTAGTGGAGAAAATGTAATGGGCGTATACTTCCATAGTCTGGACTGTTCCTACAGAAGTGGAAAAAGGTCACTGTCCATGGTGCAGACCTTCCTTCCTCCCTGTTCACCCTTCCTTCCCTGTTGTCCTACTTAATAATACAAGGATCAGTTTAATTCAGTCTAATGAGCCCTAGGAGAAACTGAACCAGACATATTTGAACAGGATGTAATGATTGGAATTCACTGCATAAAACTGGACTAAAAGTTGAAATACTGATATCAAATACAAGTACAAAATTGTTTTGCCAATGAATGGACATGCACTGCCTCTCAAGAATGTCTGAATAGGTCCCATATAAAGCTCTACACTGCTATACTGTTGTTCCAGATGGTTGTACAATAAGTTATTGGCTGTGTATTGCTTGATGAACTGTTGCTGCTCCTCTTCATATAAAAGCACTTCGCTCGTGCGTCATGAGCTGACCCCAAGCTGTCCTCTAAATCATTAGTGCTGTGAAGGCAGCCAGCAGGAATTTCACGGGTTATCTTTATGCCTAAGGATACAATGCCATGCCTGAAGACAAGGACATGGGTAGAAGCAAGGGTACAACTAACTTCTGGAACTTGTCTAACCCATTTTAAACATGTTGTGTTATAACCCTTAAGGCATGTTTCCACATTGACCCCAAAAGATTTTAACAGTTTGCTTTCACAGTAAACACAATTGGCCCAGTAGTAATGTCCCTTTTTGTGTTTGTTTTTTTGGTAAATTGATCAAGAATACATTTTAAAGTAGGATTTAAAGGCATGAAATGAATGCCTGTTTTTGACGAAGAGTAACTGAGTTGAGAATTTGTTAAAATCATCATGGAAATGAGATCGATGTACAGAATGAAGCATGAAAATTGAAATAAATTAAGCACAGTGGGTAATATTGTCTCCAAATACCATCTTAAGCCCTGTAGTAACATTCGCACATCTAACTATGCTTTACTGTATATTCAGCAAGAACAACTTCTATATCTCATATAACACACCACATAAATAGATCATGGACCTGTGATAATTAGAGCTTATATTTAGCATCCAAAACTACATTTAAAATCACATTATAGTTGAGCTATAACATTAGACTTTACTGTCTCCATGGCATGGCACATGATAACAACAGGCTACATGTGCGAATACCTATATGACTATAGATTTAATTTTGGTGAAATTATCTTGTATATATTTTGGTAATCTGAGATATTTCACCAACTAAAATTAATTCAACAAAGCCAAGCACCTAGGTTTGACAAACGTGAGCACTTAGCAATCCCAAATTCTGAAGATAAATACCTTAACCACATGAATGCTCCAAGTTTTGTGTCATTCTGTACTAGTTAGTTTAACTAAAGCTAGTTAACATGATGAACATTCATTCATTCACATTAACATTATTCAGTATGCACAGATAATTTAGCTAAAAAAATAGGTGCAGTGGAGATTACTGATATCTTTCACTTTTTGAACCATTATAATTTAGCACAGTCTTTTTCATCCATCAATCCATCGTCAACTGCTTATTCTGCGTACAGGGTACGGGGCATTGACTAATGTTACATTAAATTAGCTTTTATGTTAACTAACTTGAACAACGAACAAAAACAAAAAAGCTCAAAATATACTTTTCTGTCTATATCACAATGTGCAGTAATACCCATGGGAAATACAAGCAGGTGGCTGCTGCTGTGTATGAACAACTGTTAGTGGACATTGTCATAGTCAGTGTTTTACTAGCTAGCTAGCTAAAAACCAGCATATATTTGGTTATGTTGAGTTTAAGTTTGCCTATATGCACCTCAACAGTTTTGTCTTGAATTTAAATTTACTCAAGTAATGTGCATTCAGGTGAATAAAGCTTTAGGGTAATATTTTGTGACTTCACCTCTCTCTTTCATCCTAACTTTCCTGCCTGTATATTGACCTCTCTTTCCGAACCTGCAGGTTCCCCACCAGTGGACCCGCTCCTCACACCTACATGTCTTCCACATCATTCATTGTGTCCACTAGCTAGCAGCTGCTGCAAAGAACATACATTGACAAGACGTGAAAGCTAATAGGTTGTTTCACTGCAACAAAAGCGCACAGCAGCAGAGATATGCCTTTTGGACTGAAGGCGACTAGCCAGTTGCTAGCTTGTTGCTCTTGCTGAGGCAATATCAGCTACTCTGTTTCAATAAAATGTGCATTCAAGCAGAAATTCATTGGTGCCGTTGTGCTGGGAGTTGCGAGGATTTAAACCAGCGTTGAGTAAGAAATGGTGAAAATATGTATATATATAATACATGTAATATGTTACCCTATAAGTAGAGGGAAAATGTATGCTAGGCTAATTTATGCAGTGAAAAATACCATAGACTAATGGTGAGTAGCAAAAAACAAACATTGAAAGTTATTATGGAGCCAGATATTAAGCTTTTGTTAAATGTGATTGTTGTTAATTAAGCCATATTTTATGTGTGTTAGTGGAGTCAATTTGAAGATAACTTTGCTGCATAAGAGTTTTTTTATGACCAAAAGCAGAGGAGAAAGCTCCTTTCTTGTGGTCAAGAAGGAGGACAAGAAGAAGAAGAGCAACAAAGGCTATGTTCAGACTGCAGGCCTTAATGCTCAATTCCGATTTTTTTCCAAGATCCCATTTTGTTCACACTGGAATCTGATATCAGACTCCAGTGTGAACTGTCCGTGGCCTGAATGTGACGTGACCCGCGTGCGCAGAACACACACAACATCACACGCAGCAACACGCTGTTGCAGGCTACAGAAGTAAGAGCAACAGAGCTTAGCTCCAGTTTAACTCATGGGAGACTCCCTTTTTTATTGTCCTCTCACGGGTCACATTTCTCCCGAATTAGGCTATGACAAGTGTTCACAACTTTCTGTTATATTATTTTCTTTCCTTTCTTAAAGTGTGTGCATCCCTTCTTAGCTTATGAGCTTATTTTCCACACAACAATTCAGGTTTATTTAACCACATTAAAACATCGTAGTAGATGAATGCACCATATTGGTGAACACTCAATTCTTTCTGGATATGTTTACTCTAATTACGTAATTACTTTGTACAAATTCATATCACATCAACATCAAAGTTCCTGTGTGTGAGAACTAATGAAAAACATTCACTAACTAACAAACTATCTAGTAGGCTAACTGATGCCAACATCAGCAGCAAAAGCTGTTAATGAAGTTCCAAAACTTAACAATACATAATTTTCTCAATCAAACCTGTAGCCGTTTCCAAGAAAGGTTGAATTGAGGGCAACTGGACTTCTTCTGAAACGTTATCTACAACCAAGTCCAGTTGCTCCAGATTCAACTTTTTATTAATAACCATGACCTGGATGAATCTTTACAGATGTGTAGGTTTGTCTAACAGGTTCGTCTTGTCTCAGCAAAGGAATCAAAGGGGGTTCAGTGGAGCCTGAAGATTATCTGCAGTGATGTTTTTAATAAATCAAACATTAAGCCACTAATGTGTTCTTTCTTTGTGGAATAAGTACCTCACATAGTTTTTGCTGTTAGCCTCTTTAGTGATTGTAAGGTTACTCCTTTTGACCTGAGTCAATCAATTTTTCCTCCTCTCCATCTCAGCTGTGAAACCATACATTCCTACTCCTTTTTCAGGCCTAGTGCAGCAGTAATACATGACAATCATTGATAGTCAGCTGTCTGTTCTATCTGAAGTCATAAAGATTACATTAGTCCAGGGGTTTTCAAAGTGTGAGGCTGGCCTTCCTAGGGGCTCCATGCAGTTTCAGGAGAGGCTCAGTGAATGGAAGTGAAACAATATTACAGTACTTATTGCATTAGTTGTCCGTAAGGATTAGGCTGGGAACCGGAGGGTCGCCAGTTCGAATCCAGCTCGGGCCAGAGTTGTGGAGCGTAGACTGGTAGCTGGAGAGGTGCCAGTTCACCTCCTGGGCACTGCCGAAGGAGGCCTTGAGCCCCTGGACCCCTAACTGCTCAGGGCGCCGCACTGAGTGGCAGCCGCCTTACTCTGACATCTCTCGTGTGTGTTTGTCTTTCGGACCCGTGTGTAAAAATAACAGTAAAGTATATCTTCTTCAAAAGGAGATCACGTCGAATAGCCTACATGTGTGAGAGTTCAAAGATACAGTAGTTTTTGGGAACCGTTCCCCCCCCCCCATCAGTCAGAAAACTGTTTTTTAAAACTATTTGGTGTAGTCAGAAGTTATGTGAACAGCAATATTTTGGCTGATTTGGCTCAAATATTGAATGTAATCAAATAATATAATCATGATTGCATAGGGATCCAGGAATTGAGCGAAACTTACCAATTAAACTAATAATGTGGTCGGGGGCGCTAATTTTCAAGCTTTATCTGAGGGGAGGCCCGAAGTCTCAGACTCTGAAAAACCCTGCATTAGTCATTAAGATCAATTAACCCTGGTACCATGAGATTACTAAAAGGAATGTTAGAAAGGTAAATCTGATGTGAATTTTAAATGTGTTTTCAAGAGGAACACACTTTCCAGTGTATGTTAGGGTCTTGTGGTGAAGGCAGTTGAGGTTGAGCAGGTTGGAGGACCCAAACGCAGGACACGAAGGCTAGCAGGTGCAGTTCATTGAAGGGTTTTAATATAACAAAAGGCGAGCACACTTACAAACAGAGTGGCTGAAAGACTAAGTCCAAAACAAAGGCTGTCCAACAGAAATCCAAAACGAGCAGGGAAACACGACAAGTGAGGCTGACCACACAAGAAACACACTGCAACTCAGGGTGACAACATACAATGACCCAACAAGGACAAGACAGAAACAACAGGTATATATACACAGAGACTAACGAGCAGGGCGGGAGCAACACAGGTGACAGACATGAGACTAACAAGGCAGAGAGAGAGAGAGAGACAGTAAGCAGAGGGAAACAGAGACTGACATGCAGGCAGAGTGACAACCGGGGGAACAGACGGAACACAGGTTACTGAACACAAAACAGACCAGAGTGAACACTTAACATGAACTAAGGTACAGGACTGGGAACAAGGACAATGAACTAAAACGCAGGAACAAGAGTTAAGGCAGTGACTAAGAAACAATATAACAACTAGACTACCAAACCAAAGCAATATCAAATCACACAGGACTACGAGCTAGAACATGAGACAAGACATAAACACTAAGGACAAGGAAACAAAAAGAACGGGTAAACAAAAGGACACCAGAAACAAATGGCACAAACTCAAACTCACAGGGAAAAACTACAACTCATAACAATGTAAGGTTAGCCAAAAAATGTCAACAAGGTAGGTGATTGTAGCTGTTATTGTCAAAAATATATGTATATCTTTAAAAAAAAAATAGTATATAACTACATACACGTGTCAGTGTGCTGTACAAATATTGTAAATCAACGCATTTATTGTATAAATTACCAAAAAACGCTTTTCGTTTCTCTCTCTCATTTTCAATTGTCCGCCTAGAACTTCCAGGAACTACCTGCGGTCTCCATGAACCATGTGACGATAAAGCATTTTGGACCCCCGCTGACGCGACTCTCTCTTTAAAGGGCTCTGCCCCCAAATAAAGCACAAGAAGTAAATATTAGCCATTAGGAAAAGAACAGTTTAATGTAAACAATAGAACAACATTTTTTATATTCTACCCCACATGTCTTGTTCTTGTGTAATACAGAGTAAGAATTAATAACAGAGTATGGATACTTTATAATACAGCCCGCACCCCTGAACATTTTCTACAACTGCATACCTTTTTCGTCTTGTGTAATTAAAAGAATGAAAATAAATACTAGGTTCCTCTGTACCTCATTTAACATTCAGTATTAGCTATGTTTGATCCACCTTCATCTATATGTGGGGAAAAAATCCTCCTCTCACCACTCGTGGGTAGGTAGCCTATGCGTCATCCTCCAGCTTGGGTCCTGGGACTGAGGCCTGGGACTTTGGGGGTTCTGCGCGGTATCTTAGCTGTTCCTAGGATTGCACCACTCTTCTGTACAAAGACTTTAGATGTTATACCTGGAATCTGCTTGGGCCACTCTCCCAGTTTGGGGGTCACAGCCCCCAGTGCTCTGATTACCAATGGCACCACTGTTGCTTTTAGTCTTCACATCTGTTCTAGATCCTCTTTCAGCCCTTTCAGGTATTTATTCCAGGTTCTCGTGTTCCTTCTTCTTGATGTTTTTCTACATCTATCACTGCTGCCTTCTTCTGCGTTTTGTCGATCAACACGATGTATTATTGGTTAGCAATCACCAGTTTGTCAGTCTGGATCTTGAAGTCCCACAGCATCTTAGCTCGGTAATTCTCAACTAACTTAGGAGGTGTCTTTCATTTTGACCTTAGGACTTCCAGACCATACTCATGGCAGATTTTCTATATACTATGCTAGCTACCTGCTGCTACAGTGCGGAATGAACAGAGAATAGACCCATTTCTCAACTTGTTCTTTCCAAATCATACAATGAAGTAGAAAATACATTACAAATCCCTTGAGGTTTGTCTTCTGAAGGCAGGACAAAATCATAGCTTTTTATTGCACTTCGTCCATTTGTAAATTATTGTGTTTTGGTACCACATCCCAATAGAGAAAAACACCATAATTACTTAATAGGATGTCAGTGTATTGCCAACCGTTCAGCTGTTTACCAGCACTGTACCCTGTAGGTACCCAGTATTTTCAGTTTAATACTTACTAGATTGCAAACCAAAATAAGAGCACATGATCATACAGTTGT